GTGGAGCAAATTATGCATAATTTAACATGTAGTCTATTCGTGATTCATAATTTATTTTTGTGACCATGGGGTTTGTAAAAGTGTAAACGATTCGAAACATTAAAAATAAGTAAATAGAAAATATAGTAAAAGTCGCTTGACATAATTCATTACTTCCATCGCGTGGATCCATCCATACATCAACGCAACGCAACATACCCGCTCATAGCCTGCGTACACACATAAGTATCGGCTATAAACTACCCTCTTAATAGACTATAAAGATAGAACATCGAATGTTGGCGTACCCCGTTGAGAAGTGCAATGTACGTGGTTTTTAAGGTGTCGCATACTCCGAGGTCTTGGGTTCACCCCGGTGGGGCAAATCATTGTATGATAAAAACGAGCATCTGTGCCTTTGGTTGTTAACAAATATGAATTCAAAATCATACTAATCTATGCATCATCATTATGCATTTCTATGCGTTAGCCCATAACACAAGCCTTTCAATGCCCATTATGAGGCTAGGCTAATTGGTGTGAAGTGTTGACTCGATCACTACGGTTGTTCTACCGTAATATATAGTACATTTCAAAAGAAAAAGGAATATCGAAACAATTAATGTTTGAAAAAATTTAGTGCAGGACAGTTGATAAATTGGGAGCACCATAAATAATTCTTAAATAAACTTAATGGTATCGCATGCCATTCAAAAGCTTGTTTATCTAAATCCAATATATATCAAACTCCAATCTCAAGTGCAGTACACTATAAATGTATTAAGAATTCTAAGTTTTCTGCAATTTAAGGACTATCTGCCAGATAGATAGATGATAACATATTTTCTCTTGAAAATAACAAAAGTAAACCAAATGGGTTGCTCACTCTTTTGATCGCATAATGAGAGAAACTTGCAATATTAGAAATGCCGTGTATGTGGTGTCTGAGGTGGCCAACATGATCATTTTGATACATAGTGGTCCTATGTACTGAAGAAAGATTGCACGATCTACCAAATTCTTGAAAGGTTTTGAAGATCATTGTATGCAATTATCCACTTTATGTTATTTTAAAACTGTTCTTAATATTAAACTTACGCTTTCTAACCTTGCCACGACTGTCTGGAATAAATATACTTCAAACCCTACGCATTGTACATGCACACCTCATGTAAGCTGTGTAAATCTTATAAATAACTAAATCTTTATTTAGTATTAAGTAATACATACAAATGACTCAGATCTAAGAACTGAAAAACAAAAGAAAAAATTACAATCAATTATATATTCCAGGATGGCAAATGAATTTCATAAAATCTGGTCTGAACTTAGTAATAGCATAATTTATCACGGCAACCCTGCGACAATATAAAAACTATACCTGAGAATCGTAAAAACGTAAACTTCAGAAGTTGATCGGTTTCAACATTTTTGTCATTCATGTCATTTGGGGTTGTATCAATCACTCCCTACTTCTAACAATAATTATGAATTCACTGCGATCGACCTTGCAATCACTTCCCGCCAATCTAATATGAAAGCTTGGGAAGTATAGTTGAAGAACACGGCTCTACCACTTAACTTCAATCTTCACTCCAATCAAATAGATATGCTAGCACTACGCTTTTTCAACATATTCTACAAAGAGCGACAGCTCTGTCTTAAACAGCTATGAGATGGCTCGGAAACACTGGCTTGCGTGGTTGCATTGGTCTAGGAACAAGAATGTTTATCGGAATAATCCCGCAAGTTGTGGACTCGGCTCTGAGCTAACACGATTTTTGAGAGACTTATTTTTAACACGTGACTTATCTCAAAATAAGTACCATTATTTTAAATAAGTCAGTATTTTTTACATGATATACCAATGGATGATAAGTCTAATTACCTAAGCTCTGTCTTGGCAAAAACATATATTGAAGTCGATTGTTTTTAAAGAATCAGTCCGTAACCCACTATTCTGTGTCTATAAGTGAACTTATTTCCTTTTCTTCAATAATGTACTCGTTACATCATAATGATCTGTTTCAAATACTTCGTCATACTATTTGTTTTTCTGAACGTCATACTGTAATTATGCTGCGTATTATTTGGTTCAGCATGTGGTACACATGACTTGTTCCTACTTCAAATTATCCCGAATCATTGTATTTGTACCGACGAAGATTAGTTAAAACAGGTGAAAGTAGTTAGACAATCCGATTGGTGACTTGTACCGAATAATGGTAATCGTAAGTGGGACCCTGATTTTTGGTACTTAAGTAAAAAGTACAGTCTTGTAAAATGTAAGACTCAGTATCGAACAACTTTACATCTTTTTCTCGAATTCGTACGCCTTATTTGTGATATACAAAGATACAAATGAATGCTACACAAGGAAGCGTCCGGTCATTAACAAAGCAAATATATATATATACTTCGCGAGTTTTAAGCAAAGGAATATAGCGATCAGCTAATACATATGTTGAAGCAGCTTCGTAAGCGTGAAGAAATTAAAGGCGTGATTCAAATAATATTATTTGATTCATTTTTAAGCTTACTCGTTTCTTTATACAGTTTCATATAATCTGATAAATGTTAATATTTAAATTTATCATAAATTGTCACATTGGCGTATATATCTATGTACGTGGCGATCACCAGGCGATAACAAACAGGTCTCAATATAAAGCTTTCAGTGACGGTCAAGTAGTTTAATAGCAGCATTTTACCTGAAATAAAATGCATATTAAAATACTTACCTCACTGAAAGCTTTCACTTTAAATTCTGCCTGGTGAAATAATCGAGCCAATGAGTTAATATGGCGCTGTCAAAACTTAGGAAAACAAAAATGGCCGCGCTTCTGCCAGGTGTCGCCACTGGACCGGATACAAGGTGAATAAAAGTACGGAAACTGATGGTAATTCGACGGGAAACGGAAGTGCTATCTCAATATAAGGCTTTCAGTGAGGTAAGTATTTTTTATGCATTTTATTTCAGGTAAAATGCTGCTATTAATTACCTCGCAACAAACTGAAATATTGGATTTTTGAAGAAAGTTTAACAAATATTATGTTTATAGATGAATTTACATATCGAATTTCCTATTGTATTAGTTTTTTATATCCTATAAATTCTCTGTAGTATAATACAGAATACTAAATCCTAATGTTCCATGAATCCAAACAGAGGGGGTACATTTTTGGAGTTCGGATTAAAGAGGTCCTGCTGTGGTCTTGAAATTACTCATGCATCAAAGAGGATAATAAATATCTTTCAGACTGTTCTTTCTTTACATCAGAATGTTCTTTAAAATTGTATATTGAGTACCCATATATCCCCATAGCTTAAATTAAATAAAACCATAAACATATATAAATTCATTAATTTGAAAAGTACCAGGAGACCATAGGTATCTAAGAAGTTCTGGTAATCAAAATGGAAAAAAAATATTTTTTTTTATTATAAAAATCTTTCTTATAAGATCTTATAGTAGGTCGGTTTTGTGGCCAAGAGTACAGTAATTAAATTTCATTTTCAACTATACCCTCAAGGGAGCAGCCAAGGCTACGTAGGAAATTAGCGATGATTACTTATTTATTTTCAAGTAGTCAGTATGGGCAAACATGACAGAGCTCTGACAAAGTAATGGATAAAAGAGTACTCAATATGCAATTTTAAAAGTAAGTTCTGATATCTTCCCTAGATTGGGGAGACATCAGTACTATAGAAATCCTGATGTCTCCTCTAGGGGGCTGTCAGGGGAGACAACAATCCGAAGGGAATAAATACACAGATTACTATAATATGGGATTTTTTAAATGTGTTCTGAATTTGCCTTGAAATTATTTTTACCAGCTAGCTGCAGGACCAAAACTCACATCGAATGTGACATTGTAGTTAAAACAACATTATAAATTTCATGACGCGATTTAAGCTTGCACAGCGCGGCGTCTGCGAGACCGCAGATAAATCAGATCTGCGGTGGTTGCGGGATTAAACCACTCCGTGGGTTCCTCCAACTAAACTTAAAATACTAATTTGACAATATAGGAAACAATGTATCATCTTGCTGTTTTCTTAGTTCTTAGTAACAGCACAGCTCTCAGCTTGCTTATATAACTTTTTTGTAGTAAAATTTTCTTTAAATTTAAACAGAGTAGTAAAATGCATAAAAAATATAATTTATTGTATATGCATTTACTTTCCACCTGTTATGCTCAAAAACACAATTTATTAAAATGGCCATGGCCAGTTGGCATGTTTACTTATTTGAGCTATAGCACTACTAGCATTTTAGTTAAAAAATACAATATTAAAACTAAAAGTTGAGCAACAGCAAGCCAAACTAAAAGTAGATCAGCAGACTATAAGTATGATATAGTATAAAACTAGTTTTTATCATAGTTGTTATATTTTGATGTTGTTTAAATAATTTATTTTATTTTTATAATTTTACTCATTTATACAGTTTGAAAAGTTAGGAAATTCTAATATGCATCAGAATCAATCTATATATTTAAGATCTAGCGGTCCCCTGCTGCTTCGTCCCGCATTAACAAAATTAATCGTTTTTTGAGAATCCCACAGGAAACTATTATTTTTTCGAAATCAAAAGTATTCTGTCTCAATTCAGCTATTTAACTATGTGATTTTTGAATTTTATCCAAATCCATTCAGTAGTTTTTGCATGATTGAGTAACAACCATACATACTTTTATAATATTAGTAGGATTTTGAGTCATCATAACAATCTTTTAATAATTAGGTATTAGTGTATCTATATCAAATTTTGTTAATTGACATTATATCAACAAGTTGCAAAAAATTACTGTGTGTAAAAATGACAAAGTGTTATTTATTTATTTAATCTTTAATGCCTTTACATTGCATATGGCAGACTTAATGCCAGCATGGCATTCTCTACCAGTCATGTTAGTTAGTTAGTTATGGGTCATTAGAAAAAATATTTTTAAATTTAAAAGCTATTAAAATAACATAATGTAAGGGGCTACATTATATAGACGCTATACATTCTTACTTTGTCTTTGTAGTTCAAAGAACTTTTAAACATCATGTAGTGCCAGTCTGAATATGTCATGCTCTACATAGAATGAATTTCCTATTGGCTTCAACACAAAAGTTTGAAGATATGCATGTGGTTGATCATCATCTGTCTGTTACAAACGTAACAAGAAACCATTAATAAGTTTATGTGATTAATCAATTCTGATAATAATTACACATTTGAACAAACCTGAAGTCTTCCAAGAACATTAATTAGAACACCACCATCAAACATTGGTTGAGAGTCAACTGATGTTATTAGTCTACCAATCTTTTGAAATGTCAAACTCTGAAATGAAGAAAATAAATCACTCATTTTACTTATGTAGGCAGAAATAACCAATCTTTCAATTTGCAGACAGTATTTAAAACAAAAAGGAAATTAGTAAATAATAAATTAAAATGCACAATAAATTAATAAAACTAATATTGATAGCACCGTTTTACTTACATTTAATTTTTCCATTATTTTAACAGCACCTTGAAGCTGAACTCCTTCAAAAGTCATAAATGATGTTTCAACCTGTAATTAAACATAATTGATTGTACATAGTTATGACGGTACTTAAAAACTGTTAGCTATTATAAAAAAATATTTTGTATGAATAGTAAACACTAATAGTAACTGTTTTGTGACGACTGTATTGACAAATGACCTAACCTAAAAATTGCCAAAACCTAAGGTTTAGGTCGCCAATTCAATGCATGCATTTGCAGTGAACAATAGGTTTAGTCCATTTTACACTAAAATAATGAAAATTACTCACGTTGTACATATTTGCCAGGGTTGCTCGCGTTGCCGGATCATCGAACAATGTGTAATATTGTTGAACGAAGCCTTTTCCAATTGCATCATATTGTGGATTGAGCGCCATTTAGACAATTATTTAATATATTACTACTAAATGACAAGAACACACGAATTCTTCTATAAAAAAACTCCACACTTAGATTTGTTAAAATTCAATGACATTTGATGAAACGGGCTGTGGGTGCCGTTCTAAACCTACGCTCGCTGCGCTAGATTTTTTTTTTGTTGAAGTTCTCCCGTTTTACGGAAGGCAAAGGGAACAATGCCCATACAGCCTAGTCTTTAATTAAATTAATCTTCTTTTTGTTTTTACATTAGAATGTCGGTGTGACGCATTCTAATGTTTCTTGGAGTGTTTGGCACGAAATGTATCGAGTTGGCTTTTTCGATAAGCTTCTGTGAGGTAGTCAACACTACAATAAAATTCTCACGTCCACTTAACCGGAATAGCGTATATTTTAATGATTCCACTAATTCTTCAGTTACGCAGACAGTTGTTACACAAAACCACACCAATTTTATTTCACAATATCCACTATGAACGAATTTAAGAATAATTAAAATAAGACGCCAACCGCACTCGATGAAATCCCGCCAAAAAAAAACCTAGATTTTTTTTAACATTTTCTCTTTGTAGGGAACATTGCCCATACAGCCTAGTCTTCATTTTTGTGACAATCAGAAACGGAAGTTGGAGAAGCATTCCTACGGCAGGAGTAGACGAAATAATGACACCGCTATCTTCTAACAACTATTCACGAAATGCAAAAGATCTGCGCGATAGATATGCTGACTATTTTGTCGGACCAGGAAAAGTTTCATGGCAAGATAGAATGATTGCGTAAATATTGTATGTTTATTTAAGTATTATTATAAAAATGGCTAATTTATAATATGCGAACAAGAATAACTATTTAATAAATAATAATAAGACTTACCATGTTATCTTTACTGTTTCTTCCTTCTATCACTGGCTTTAAAAAGCGGTCAGCTACAGAAAACCAAATTAATTGAGGTCTGTATATATCATCCTTTCCCGCGCCACTCTTCTTTGACTTTGCTACCTTACTGGCCTCTCTATTATACGTGGTTCGTATATTTTTTATCTTCATTTTAAGCTCTTCAACTGTTATGGACAAACGCATTTCTTGAATAATAGATTTAAGAGCGGTTAAACGTACATTATTGTTCCTGTAATCTTGTTCTCTTGGGTTCCATAAGCATGGATGCATTTCATAGCATTCCAAAAACTGTATGGTGTTATTTATATTCATGGTTGTTACGATGCATGTACACAGAAACGCTGTAGTAAATAAATACACGTGCGTGCGCGAAACACCTTCATGCGGCGGGCGATCGCCTGCAACTGATCGTTTACACGGTCGATTTTAGTCACCAGTCGCATGCGGCCGGTTGCCGCGCGGCCAAAGTCGGATGCTACCCAACTTTGGGGCTTGCGGCTTTAGTCACTTGCAACTCAGCCGAATTGGCATGTAGATGGTCAATTTACGCCGCGCGGCAAAAATCGTGCGGCTTTAGTTACCCGTGTAAACCCCCCATAAGGTGCGTAAATTGACGCCTCGGTGCGAACGAGGTGTCACCGCCGAGTTTAGAGATATATAAAACTGTGCGGTACACTTGGGTTAATCGGCTGAATTCTACAAATTACCTGGGAAATTCTTACCAAGAAATAACAACCAGTAAGCTCGTATGCCAATGACGATTCTGCTAAATAAATAAAAGAAATTCTGCCTTTCAGAGTATTAAAAAGGTATCTAAAGAAGCTCAATGGCTCAAACGGTTAACGTGGAAGTTAAGCAACTTCCGCAATGGCCGGTTATCGGATAGGCCAGCTATACTCTAAGTGTGTTCCGCGGAACCCTAGGGTTCCGTGATACCTCTGTCGGGGTTCCGCAAGAATTTAGAAATAAAAAAATCAAAACACCTCTCTCTGGTCGCTCCGCGGCTGTGCGGACTCCGCGGCCGCGCGGAGACAAAACGCTATGAATGTTATTTATTTATTTATTTGTATTTGTATAAGCTTGTGTTACATTAGCTGGTACAATATCTCATAAGTTTGGTCTCAACAATTTTATACTTGTACAACGCGTTCGCTCTAAGTTTGCCGGTCTGTGGAATGCGCGTACCCTCCCCCACGTGACAACAAAACTTATAATGTGTCATAGTTTTACCCAAATATCTAACGTACACAATTTTTATTGTTACAATTAAATAAAAAATTTCGAACGTCATACACTCATACCTATCGCCAGCGGCAAACTTAAAACGAGCGGGTAGGTATACTTGTAAGCGCTCAGTCTCTTTGATAAAAGCCGCCTCTGAATTAGACGCTATAGTTGTCAACTAGCGACTTTCGTCTCTAACTTCAAAGGATAAAGTCGATATTGTTTACAACGCTATTTTTAAATTTCTGTTTTTATTTTTGCTTTTTGTTTATCAAAGGTGCCGACTCGAGTATTTTCGAGAATATTTGAGATCGAGTCTAGGACTAAGTATAAAAGCGGCGATCGCGCGTTGGCGTCGTCAGTTGATGATTAGCGTTCGGAGCGATAAGTTACTACCTACTTACAAGCTCGCTAGCGAGAAACTGGTGTTCATTGTTTTACTGCCTGCTGTATTCTGTTGTCTCAGTTTTATACATTTCTTCCCTGTAGGTTCTAAATTTAGTCTCTTATACGCAGTAACGATTGTGCATTATTTAAACCCCACTATCCTGACTTGTAACATTATAAATAAAGAAGAATGGAACGTTGGCTTAAAGGTGTTAAACGTGTTCCAACAACATCTTCTAATGACGCTGAATGTTCAAAAGCAATGCGCGCGGAGAATTTAGCAATCACCGATCCAGAAGATGATGCCACGAGTGCCACGACGTCAAGCTCGACGGTTTCAAAGACGAAAAAAAGGAAGTATGATGAATCTTATATCAGTTTCGGATTTGTTGATTCCAACGGCTCACCTCTCTGCATGCTCTGTAGTAAACTGCTTCCTAATAGTTCCATGGCACCTGCCAAATTGCGTCGACATTTAGAAACCGTACACCCCGAGACTAAAGACAAGAATAAAGAATTTTTTGTTCGCAAAAAAGATCAGTTATTAGAAAGTCAAAAAAATATGATGCATGTAACACAAACTACCAACGAAAAGGCCACGGAGGCATCATACTTAGTTAGCTATCGCATTGCACAAGCAGGTGAAGCGCACACTATCGCTGAGAAATTAATAAAACCATGTGTATTAGACATAACAAAATGTATGCTTGATGAAAAATCTGCAAAGCATCTTTCTACTGTTCCGCTATCAAACGATACTGTTTCACGACGAATCCATGATCTGGCAAGCTACGTCAAACAAGAACTAGTTACACGTCTACAAAATACACGATTCGCTTTGCAAATGGACGAGTCGACTGATGTCGCTGGTTTGGCTATCCTGCTGGTTATTGTGAGATATCCATATAAAAGTTCTTTTGAAGAAGACATGCTTATGTGTTCATCGCTGCTTACAAACACTACCGGGGAAGAAATTTTTAATAAAATAAATATATTTTTTGAAGAACATAATCTCAGTTGGAACAATTGCATTGACATTTGTACAGATGGGGCCAAGGCGATGACAGGTAAAACAGCAGGAGCAGTGTCACGAATGAAAAATAAAGCGCCTAATTGTAGTTCCAGTCATTGTATTCTGCATAGACAAGCACTTGCGATGAAGCAAATGCCGTCTAATCTAAAATTAGTTATGGATGAAGCGGTAAAAATAATTAATTTTATCAAATCACGACCACTACAATCCCGATTGTTCTCATTATTGTGTGAAGATTATGGCAGCAAACATAAAACACTGCTGCTCCATACAGAAGTGCGATGGCTGTCTCGGGGAAAAACTTTAACAAGGCTATTTGAACTTAGAGCCGAGTTACAAATGTTTCTTTCAGCAGATACTTCTTTTAATTTGAAGGACCGTTTGTATGATAAAACTTGGTTGTTCCGATTGTCTTTTATGGCGGATATCTTTCAAAAACTTAACGAATTAAATTTATCATTGCAAGGTAAACAGACAACAGTGTTTCAGGCCTATAATAAAATAACTACTTTTAAAAGAAAATTAGATTTTTGGATCATTTGCATTGGTAAGAAAGAAATAGAAAGTTTTACGTTACTCACTGAGTTTGTTAGCGAAAACGACTCAGAAATGTTTGAAGATAATGTGTTTGAAGAATTGGTCCAATATCTCAGTTCGATGCGCGCATCTTTTGAAAAGTATTTTCCCGAAGAACACAATACAAAAATTAAAGTGAACTCCTGGATTCATAATCCTTTTTTACCCAACTTGGAAAAGCCTGAAAACATGTCAAATGAGATATATGAATCTCTTTTAGAAATGTCATCAGACACAAGTATGGAGTCATTGTTCAAAACGACGCCTCTTAATGATTTTTGGTGCAGAATCCAAGATGAATATGCAATGCTTGGCCAAATGGCTCTGGATATTCTTCTCCCGTTCCCAACTACATATTTGTGCGAAACAGGATTCTCTACCTACGCAGCCACGAAAACAAAATATCGCAATAGACTGGACGCCGAAGCTGATATGAGACTCCAACTTTCTTCCATCAAACCTGATATCAAGCAATTGATGAAAAATAAAAAACAGTTTCATACCTCCCACTAGTTAGATTTTTTCTTTTTTAATGTTTTCTATTATTGTCCTTACCAAGTGGTGAAGTAAATAATAATTAGTAACGGATACATTGTACTTTTATTATGCTGATTAATATAGAATACACTTATAAAAATAATTGTTTTATTGTAGGGTTCCATCAAGTATTTTGCTTCCCAAAAGGGTTCCGTCATTTAAAAAGTTTGAGAACCACTGGGATAGGCGATCAAAAATTTATTATCCTATGCTTCGGGAAGATTGTAATGAATTTGGTTCCAGTTGCATTTGTAGTCGTTAGCACATCCGCATCCGCGGATCCGTGGGTTCCAGTCTCCCTATCCCATTATAGGCGAGTATTGGTGTCAATTCTGGCTTGATTCTCTAAACCTAAACTTAATTTTGCCAACATGTCATGTGTATGGGTACGGCCACAGTGCACGCAGATTCAGATTCAGAAAACAAGCGCGAGAAATAAACAGTGTAGATTAAGCAGGGTGGCCATAGTGGC